CTTGAAGTGCACCCGGAAGACCACCGGGAGCCAGTGCAGCTCGCACAAGAGAGGTGTTACATGGGTACGCCATGTCGCTCCCATAACCACCCGCGCAGCCGCACTCTGCGCCAGTTGGAGCTTCTGGGTGCTCCTCAAGGGGAGCCCCATGTAGAGAGCATTGCAATAGTCCAGGCGGGAAGTGACGAGGGCATGAGTGACCGTGAGTAAGGAGTCCCGATCCAGAAAGGGACACAACTGGCGAATCAGGCGAAGCTGATGAAAAATCCTCCCGGTCACGGCCATCAGATGCTCTTCTAAAGACAGCCGTGAATCCAGGAGGACGCCCAAGTTGCGAGCCTTCTCCGTGGGGGCCAAGAATTCGCCCCCAATAGTCAGTGATGGCGCCAACTGACTATATCGGGACGTCGGAAACCACAGCCACTCAGTCTTGGATGGGTTGAGCCTGAGCCTGTTTCTCCTCATCCAGATCCGCACGGTCCGGGGTGGAGATATACAGCTGAGTGTCGTCAGTGTACTGGTGGTACTTCACCCCGAAACCACGGATGATCTTGCCCAGCGGCTTTACATAAATGTTGAACAAAAGGGGTGAGAGGACCGACCCTTGTGGCCCCCACATATGAGGGGCCTCGGGGTCGACCTCTACCCTCCCCGCCAACACAGACTGCAACCAGTTGGAGAGAAAGGAGGAGAACCACCACAACACAGTGCCCCCCACCCCTAACTCCTCCAACCAGTGCAGCATGATACCAAGATCGATGGTATCAAAAGCCGCTGAGAGACTAGGATAGGTTTAGGATAGGACAGGGAACAAGGAAATCTTTTCAGACAGAATCCTGTCATTTCTAGCATTCTACAGCAAGAAGCTTTGGATTATAAAGCTGGAAGCAATTTCATTCCCACTTACATGGTTGTAGGTGCCATGACAGGAGGGAATCTCCTTACGGAGTGGTCAGTGTAAAATTGCTATTTAGAAGCAAAGAGGGTTGCTCAAAAGTGAATTAATAATGTGCAGTGTAAAAAAGCTATTTTCCTGTCCCAACATAAGACTTGAAAAACAAGTTTGGTAAGTTTTCAATACAACTGTGTTGGAACTCGGAGGAAGCCAGCTGTGAAAGGTATCTATTGGCCGGGATCAGTACTATAAATCACTAACATAATTGTCGTCTTGGTTGCTGTTGTTTATGTCTATATTTCACATTTTCTCTAAGAGCTCAAGATGGCCTCATTTTATTCTCCAAACAGCAATTTTTGAAGTTGGTTAAGCTGAGATGGAATGACTAGCCCAAGGCATTCAGAGAATTTCCATGGCTAACATTTGCCCTAGTCCAATGGCATACATCAGTATATCAGACTTGCAGAGGGAAATTTAGAAAATGAGTGTTGAATTATGAATTGGAATTAAATGTATCTTCTATTATTCAAGTATGCTTGTGCTTTGGTAAGACCAAACAGATGTACTTGTAGACTCATCCTTGATGCTTACAGCAATAACAATAATACAAATAAAGGTGGATGGCCTGTGAAGGGGAGAGGGGAGAGGCAAAGCTCATGGCTGGAATTATATTAGACTCACTGGTGTTTCTTAGTCATGTCCCGCTAACCAGTGCTGGGTTTCAAATATTTTTACTACCGGTTCTGTGGGTGAGGCTTGGTAGGCATGGCAAGGGTTGGTGGGTGTGGCTTGGCTTGGGCGTGGCAGGGGAAGGATACTGTAAAATCTCCATTCCCACCCCACTCCAGGGGAAGGTTATTGCAAAATCCCCATTTCCTCCCAATCATCTGGGACTTGGGAGGCAGAGAATAGCTGGGGGTGGGGCCAGTCAGAATTTTTACTACCAGTTCTCCAGAACTGGTCAGAACCTGCTAAAACCCACCTCTGCCACTAACATTTAACCATATGCCAGCCATGTCATTGCCATGGTTTTCTGCCTCCTCCCTGTAACTTTGTCTTTATCTCCCTACCATCTCCAATGAGAGGCGCGCAATTCTATGGTGGTGCAGTGTTTAGAATGCAACATTGCAGGCTAATTCTGCTGAATTCGATTCTCACCGGCTCAAGGTTGACTCAGCCTTCCATCCTTCTGAGATCAGTAAAATGAGGAGCCAGATTGTTGGGGGGCAATATGCTGACTCTGTAAACCGCTTAGAGAGGGCTGTAAAGCACTGTGAAGCGGTATATAAGTCTAAGTGCCATTGCTATGGCTATCCTTCCTTAGCTGCACAAGTGTTACATGAATATTTTTCCTCTTATTCTGACACCATCTGAGGGCAGCTCAAGGAGTGTAAAATCTGTTAACCTTTGTCACACATTCCCTGGAAGGAAGTCAGGTGACAGGAGCAATTGGAGGCACAAAAGGGATTGGCCATGATCATGCTTGCGTATGTTCTGCCAGTTTGAGGATGGGTGGGGAGTGATCTAATTCAGAACTGGGAAGTGTTAGTCACATGGCCAGGAAACGGTCCCGTTATGGGACCACCTCTAATAATAATGCAAATATAAGCATTGTCTACTCAAGTACAAAGTCTGTCTATAAATTTATCTTGAATTAACCACTATTTTCTTTAATGATTGTAGAACTTTTTATGTAAGTATGTATGCAGGTATTTATATGTCACTTTTATTATTTTTACAAATAACTCAAAGCAGAGAACATATCCAATACACCTTTCTTCTCCAACAACCCTGTGAGTTGGGTTGAGCTTAGAGAGAGTGACTGACCCAAAGTCACCCAGCTGGCTTTCATGGTTAAGGCAGGACTTGAAATCATGGCTTTCCTGCTTTCTAGTCTGTTCCTTAACCACTAGTTCAAATTTATAAGTTTACATCCCGGCTTTTATTTATACAAATGGAATAATTTAATTTCTTTAACACATAACTATTTTGGGAAAATATAAACCAAATAAAACACAAATAAAACCAGCCGCTAAAATATCAATCATATAAATAAAACTATAATAGTAGCTCTTTAACAGCAGGTTTGGTTAAACAGACTAGACTGTTCTTATTATTGTGAAGAAGCAAGACTTTTTATTTAACGAAATCCCACTTTATGCCTATTTCTTACTCACCTCTTCTTTTTTTGCATTCCACTTATACATCATTGGCATCATATCAGGTACAAATGATCTTTTTAAAGAACCAACTAAATTATTATAGTTTGTAACACTTTTATTTATACAAGGTCAGCCTTAGGTAGAATGGCTCTTGTTTGGGACATGATAGAAGTTCAGCAGTTATTGTTTTCTATGTTTTTACCGTAATGTTACTACCCAGGGATGGGCTTCAAAAATTTTAGCAAGGGGTTCTCTGCCTGGTTGCTGGGTGGGTGTGGCCATGGTGGGCGTGACCTAGTCAGCCTCCTGCACCACGGCGAGGGGAGAGTTTTTGCCCTCCCTGGGCCCCGGAGGTTTTCCTCGACCCTCCGGGAGGGCAGAAATAGCCTCCCCAGGCTTCGGAGGCTGAAAATGGGCCTGTTTCCAGCCTTCCCGAACTTCCAATAGGCCTGTTTTTCACCCTCCCCAAGCCTCCGCACACGCCTTGCACTTATCTGCATCCAAAACAGGCCGTGTGGGACTCCTGGAAGGGGAGGGGTAGGGGTGGCCAGCCAGGAGTGGGATTTGGGGGTTCTCTGAACTGCACAGAATCTTAGCTAGAGGTTAAGCTAAACCCTGCGAATCCCCAGCACCCCTCCCATTGCTACCAGGGATAGGGATCTGTAGTTTTTAATTTTTATTTTTTAGTTTCACATGGAAAAAAAAAATCTTGGCTTTGAAAATACCATTTGCTATCCTGCTGCAGGAAACAATATATATGGGATTGGTCCTGCAGTTTGTGATAGCAACATATGCTCTTTGTTTAGGCTGACCCAAGGCAGGGTTGGTCTGGAGAATACTCAGATAAGTCAGCACCTTAGAAACAAAAGATAGCAGGCTAGGCTAGGAAATTGAACCCTCCCCCTCGCCCCAAAAAACACAGTCAAATAACTCCCATACAATTGCCAAGAAGTTGGCAGTTGACAGGCCTGTTTCCGTGTGAGTCACCAAGAATCAGTTTGATGATGAATTTGCTTTATACACTCTTAATGGCCTTGGGAGGGTTGGGGGGAAAAGGAAACACTGTTATTGTTATTATGTATGCAAAGCAAGTAGTTTAAATTCAGAATGTAGCTGGAAGGAACCTAGAAGATCTTCTAATCTAACTCCCTGCTCAAGCAGGAGTCTGTATAACATTTCACACAAGTGGCTGTCCACCAGTCTCTTCTTAAAAACCTCCAGTGATGAAGCACCCAGAACATCTCAAGGCCAGCTGTTCTACTGGTTAATTGTTCTCACTGTTAGGAAGTTTCTCCTTAATTGGAGGCTGCTTCTCTTCTTGATTAGTTTCCATCCATTGTTTCCTGTCCTGCCCATTGGTGCTTTGGAAAATAAGCTGACACCCGCCCCCCTTCTTTATGGCAGCCTCTCAAATACTGGAATGCTGCTATCATGTCACCCCTGGTCCTCTAGACTAGCGAAACCCAATTCCTGCAACAATTTTTCTGATGTTTTAGTTTCCAATCCTTTAATCATTTTAGTTGCTTTTCTCTGCACTTTTCCAATGTCCCATTTTGTAATGTGGTGACCAAAACTGGATGCAGTATTCCATGTGTGGCCCTACAATACTGTTTCATTGTATTTATAGTTTACTGTCTCATGTTTATTAACTTTTGATGTAAATGTTTCTTATTCCACTAATAGTCAGTTTCTGGTCATAACGTGGTTACTAATAAAAGATGTGAATAACATCATTGGAGTTTAATGGCCGTAATATTCTGGATCCTTTAAAATGGATGTTTGTTTGTAGGTTTGGGTGACTTTAGTTTTCTCATACAAATGTAGAGAATGGCATCATCCATGCATCTGTAGCTTTCTAATAAACAATTTTTCTGCAGAAACAAGCAAAGAACTAAAGGGAGAGGGGAACAGTCATTCAAAAAGGCAAACTAAAAATCCCTATCTAAAGCAATAGCTTTATTCAGGAATTGTTTGTAACTTTAAATAAATTTTCCACATAGTGTATAAGAATTCACAGAACCGTGCAAAGTTTTAAAGTGTATATCTTCAAAATATATTATTTAATTTGAAGATTATTCAAAACAGAGATAACAGAAATTAAGATAAAATTACAGTTCATCAGAAAAGGTGCCACTTAATCCAAGAAGTAAATCAACAGAATCAAATAAAAATGAATATGGTCTTTAACAGAAATAGAATGCTTGCCAAGTCAAGGAACACAAACTGGCAAAAGATAATGGAAACACAATTATATTTTATTAAATAAAGAATGCAAAGAAAGGTTTATTTGGAACTAAAGGACCTCAGAATTTTTGCGACCAATCAAAACACTTTTAAATATAGTTAGGATGAAAAATCAGCCAGGAAGACAGTTGATATGTTAGGCAACAGAATCATTGAAGATGATCTCACCAGTAGAGAGGATTGGTGAAGTCTTTGCTTTTGGGCATATCCATTTTTCATCTTACTCTGGTATGAATAACAGCTACTCAACTTTTGGAGAAAGCAGGTATGCATGACATACATGACTGTATGCTAACAGCAGCCAACACTTTCCATCCATTTTTTTTCCAGGTTCTAAGTAAAAAAAAATATTTTTTTAAAAAAAAATTCTGGTGACTCAAGCCATGGTTTCTACTTTGTACTCTGTGCTTTAATCCCCTGTAAATAAATTTCTCTACTCCAGTTGTTTATTATTCCCTATAATGGGAAGTTTACTGACCTCCATTGCCTGGAACAATACAAATTTAGACTTCTTGTGCTTTCTTACAAATTCAGTTATGGTCATTATAACTATAACATTATAACTATGGACTCATTTTGAATTTTGTTTATTAAGAGAATTCGACAAGACTTCTGCCAGTTTCCCCCTCTAGCCCATGTAACAAGAAAAATGTAATATTTGCCTGCTGCAGTTACAGAGCACATACGGATGGCCTGAATGGATTTTTTAGATAGAAAATCTGAAGAATTGAAGCCAAGATTTTTGGCAAGAAGAAATCTGACACATGTCCACCCCACTGTCCCACAGACTGTGCAATTGAGATTGTGGGGTTAAGTTGCCAAAGCCAAAACTATATTCAATGACACCTAGGGAGATGGAGGACATTCATAGAATTTTTTTTTAACCAGGGGCTTCATTCAACCAGATAAATCAGTAGCCCTGTGCTTTTCAAAGAAAAGAAAGATGGGTCCCTTAGGCTGTGCGTCAATTATATATGCTAAACTATATATGCTTGGTGAATATGTCATTTCATTTCATTTCTCTAATGAAGGACATGTTGGGCCACCATTTTCACAAAGTTGGATTTGAGGGAGGCACACTACCAAGTGAAAATTAAGGAGGATGAATGGAAGACAGCGTCGAAGTGCCCTCTGGGTTGCTACCAGTTCCAGGTAATGCTGTTTGAGTTACAGGGCCCCCCAGCGGTGTTCATGCAGCTAATAAAGGAAGTCCTGCATGAGCACTTTTACAAGGGGGTCCCTGTGTATCTGAACAATATACCGATCTATAAGAAAACCAAAGAAGAGGATGTAGAATTGATTAGAGCAGGGATCACCAACCTTTCGGACCTCAGGAACCACTAAATTCATAATTTTAAATCCCGCAGACCACTAATATGAATCCAGTACACCGCTCACTGAAGTACCTGGACTTCCAGTGATGGGATGGGGTCCTTCAGGCACTTAGGTGGCTGCCTGTTTCTGCAACCTTAAGACACTCAAAGAGCCATTTGGACCCGTTTCCCACTGGGATCTCTCTCTCTCTCTCTCTCTCTCTCTCTCTAACTCTCTAACTCTCTCTTTCTCTATCATTTCTCTTTCTCTCAGTATCTCTCTCTTTCTCTCTCTCCCTCTCCCCTCTCTCCCCACTCTCTCTTTCTCTCTCTGCATCTCTCTTTTTCTCTCTCTTCTCTCTCTCTCTCTCTCTCTCTCTCACTCTCCTCTCTCCTCAAACCTGGGGATTTGGGTGGCATTTAAGTGGCCAGGATGCCTGCAGGATCCCTGACTTCTGAGGCAGGTGAGGCCCAGAGAGGAGGCACTGCGTAGGAGCCCATTTCTCATGTTGGCCGTGTGGGGGTTGCCCACGCAGAAGCCATGCCTTGGGGGGCCACCCTGAGCAGGTGCCGAGCTGGAGGCAGGAGAGGGTCAGTCCCCTTACCCGGTTCCCCTCTGCTGTTTCTCATCAAATATGTGTGTGTGTGTGTGTGTGTGAGAGAGAGAGAGAGAGAGAGAGAGAGAGAGAGAGGGAGGGAGGGAGGGAGAGAGAGAGAGAGAGAGAAAGGGAGAGAGAGAGAGAGAGAGAGAAACAGCAGAGAGAGAAACAGCAGAGAGGAAACCCTTTCAAACACCTTTGCCTGCAATTCTTTTTACTCCCCTCCATTGTTTCTCTCTCTCCCTCTCTCTCTCTCATTCTCTCTCTCACAGACACAGACATTTGATTGCTTGAAAGGGACGGGCTGGGCTTTGCTTTTATTGTAAGCACATGCTTCCCACAATCTTGCACAATTGCCTGTCCTTTTCTCAAGCAGCAGTAGGGTACAGGCGAGGGGAGGGGAGCCAATTCCGATGGGCTGCATGGCTTTCTGCCTCATTGTAGCAGCAGCCTAAGCAACATTTGAGCTCCAGGCCTGGCGGAGTGCAAACTGTGCTTGCTGCCTGCTCCATAACCACAAGGTGAGCTGCGGAACCAAGGGGCTCTCACCTGCAAGGTTGCCTGGCACTGTGGGCAGGGTTGGGCCAGCAAGAGTGTGCTGGAAACATCTCCAGGCACCCAGAGAGACAGAAGTCCCAGCCTTCGCTGGATCAGCTGATCCATGGGCCGTGGTTAAGGAGTCCAGCAGCCATGAGGTGACCAGGGAAGGGAAGGGCTGCCTCTTGTGCTGGCCATCCCCACCCCCTTCACTAGGGCTTATTTTTGGGGTAGGGCATATTTTGGGGAAAACATGGTAACTATAGGTTCACCCCCCCAAAAAAAATCAAGCTAGGGCTTATTTTTGAGGTAGGTCGTATTTTGGGGGAAACACGGTAACTATATTATTCTATGTTGTAACTATTGAACAGGCATACTTCCAAAACAGCAAAAGCAGTAAATAAATACTGTAGTAAGCACAATTGACTTTCAATGTTCACAATAAATTTTAATAAAAGAATCTAATGCTGTGACGGGATATGCTAAATTTATATATATTTAGCAGACTTTTAATTCTGCTCTTATGCTGGGAAATCTTGATTCTGACCTCACAATGCAGGAGAAACCTGTGTGTGAGCTGAAAATATCAGCCACCAATTAGCTTACAGGAAGGAACAATTTTGTTGGATGTTTAAAAGAGATACTTGAACTGACAAATAACTGGGTTAAAGTAATATTTATTTACTTTAGGCAGGGAAAAGAGATGTACTAGGGGGACTTCAAAGAATACACATAGACAGATATACACAAGTGTACTTTTGGTAGTTTACTCATAATTACTTCTGATGGGGTAAATAACTTTTAGTTACATTTTTAAAAAGACGTTATATTATGAAGGTAGTGGAGAGAAAGTGGAACTGCTGAATTCATTCTTTGTATTTTTGTTGACTTAAAAAGAAAAAAAACAATCCAACCTATCAAAAGCAGCACCACAGAAGACAGACTAAGAATGTAAATCAAAATACGCAAGTCAAAATATGCAAGAAAACAGTAAGAGAATACCTATCCCCTCTAGATGAGCTCAAATCACTAGGACCAGATGGATTACATTCCAGGGTTCTGAAGGAGATGGCAGATGTGATTTTAGAAGCACTATACAAAATCTTTCCAAGCTCCTGGTACACCAGGGAAATGCCACAGAACTGGAAAAGAGCTGATGTGGTTCCAATCTACAAAAGAGGGGGAGGAAACTAAAGAACAATCAGCCTGACATCAATATGTGGGAAAATCTTGGAAAAAATAACCAAGCAGTGCATTTGTGAGCACCTAGAAGCAAGCAAGATGATTACTAGAAGCCAGCATGGATTTGTTAAAAACAGATCAGTCCAGACAAACACTATTGTCTTTCAATAAAGAAGAATATTTGTAGCTCAATACTGATACTCTCTGAGCTTGTGTGTTTTCTTGCAGACATTTCATTACCCAAACTAGGTAACATAATCACTGCTTACCTAGTTTGGGTGATAAAATGTCTGTGTGAAAACACACAAGCTCAGAGAGCATCAAGGACCCCTACTGCCTTCTTTGACAAATTGACTACATTAGTGGATACCTTACTTAAACTTCAGTAAGGCATTTGACAAAATAGACAACAGCCTATTTCATGGTAAGAACAATGTGGGATAGAACTCATCATCACCAGATGGTGGTTGACTAACCATACTTAATATGAGGTCCTTAGTGGAACTACGTCTACATGGAGGGAAGCACACAGTGGGTTATCTCAAGGTTCCATCTTTGCCCCGTACTCTTCAATATCATCATAAATGATGTAAATGAGAGGAAAGAAGAGAAGCTCATCAAATTTGCAAAAGACACCAAGCTAGGGGAATAGTTTATACTTTAGAAGATACACTCAGGATTCAGAAGGATCTTGACACTGGGCCCTATCCAACAAAATGCAATTCAGGTAAGAAAAATTAGATCCTATACATAGGCAACAAAAACCAAATGCACAGATATAGAATAGGCGGTACCTGGATCAATATTAGTAACTATGAGTAGGATCTAGGTGTCCTAGTAGACTACCATTTTAAGTATGAGCCAGCAGTGTGTCGCAGCTGCCAAAAAAGTCAATACAGTCCTAGGTTGCATCAGCAGAAGGATAGCATCAAAAACAAGTGAATACTGCATCCACTTCTGGTCAGCACAATACAAAAAACATGTTGAGATCCTAGAAAGAATGCAGAGAGGAGCAACAAATATGATAAAGTATTTGTAGATTAAATCATATGATGAACAATTGAAAAAACTAGATATGTCTACTCTAATGAGATGGACTAGGGCAATATGGTAGCAGTCTTCTAGTACTTAAGAGGCTGTCACAGAGAACAGTGGGTCAACTTATTCTCCAAAGCACCTGAGGGCAGGAGAGGAAGTAACAGGTGGAAGATCATTAAAGAAAGAACCAACCTAGAATTTAGGAGAAACTTCCTGACCCTAACTCTAATCCTAACCTTTTGTGATCTTCTGACTAGCAAAGTTAATGGGAAGCCAAATTCATTCAATAACCATTAATGACAGCAATTATTCACTTAACAACTGTGACAAGAAAGGTCGTAAAATGAGCCAAAACTCACAAATGTCTTGTTTAGCAAAGGAAATGTTGGGCTCAGCTGTGGTCGTAAGTCAAGAATTATTACCTGTCTTTAATGTTAGTGCTATTTGGGCATTTGCCTAGGTTTTGTTTGTTTTGTTTCTATGGATTTGATACAATGGACGCAGAAACAGGATTCTATATATTTGTGTGAGAAAAGGCAAGGAGAAGTGTACCTTCCTTTGTGTATTGAGTTGTCTAAATATAGAAGATCAGCACTTTCACATTCCAGTCAGGACAGGATATGGTTTCTAGATGTACTAAAACATGGTTGGAATGTTGCTGGGTGAATTTTGCTCAAGCCTTGGATCAAAAAAACAAGTAATGCAGATTAACCTACGAATTAATCAATGTCATTTAAATAGAATGCACTGGGTTATTAAATTAATAATAGCATAACTGTACTACTTGCAATTATATTTACAAAGATGGCAACATATGTTTTATTTGATTGCATTTTTTTTTAAAAAAATTCCACTAGCAAGTTGTTTCTTAAATTTCTCGAGCAGTGTGCAAGATAATCTGAACATAATTTTATGAGTCTCATGGGCAACTATAAAGAGGAAACTATGATCTTTATACAGTATGTTAACTGTAAAGGAATGAAAAACTCAAATGCCCTCAGGAAGGAATGTAAAGTATTGAGGGTACAAAGGTTGCCTACCTTTCTGTTAGAAATCAAAGAAAGATACAACACAAACTTTTTCTCACGAATGAAGGCAAACATAGACTTTTCTGTTTAAATGGTGCCTGGAAAGCATGAAGGAAGTAAGAGCACAATCTTAACAGCCACACAGAGTGACAAAGTTCACTCTGAAGATAAAAGTCATATTTCTACTTCTCTGCCAAAGAAAGGCACTTGCTAACAATGAATAAACGAAGTAGAAAATAAATGACTAAAAATAGTTTTAAAGCACCATTAAAAACCAATGACTAAAGCATCACCCACCCACCCAAACTCGTCAGCAAACTCAACATGCTTGCCAAAAGCCTATCTGAATAAAATATTACTCCTCTTGGCAGAAGATAAGAGTTCACCTGGAATCTAGAAATCAGCCACCAACTAAATGTCCTTTCGCAGTGCTAATGAACATGGTCCAGTAAAGAAGAAAAGGGCCTCTAGAATAGATCTTAAATCTCAGCCTGGTTATAAAGGAGGAGGTATTTTAAATAACCACAGGCTCTCATTAGCTAGTAGTTTAATATTGTTTCAAAATTTTAAATTATGCACATAGAAAAGTAGCATATAAAGCACATATAGTTGTATTTTTACATCTGTACAACTCTTAGAATTAAACCCACAGGTTTTATTATTGGAAATAGAGACACAGAAGTACTTTGTGGGTGCTAACTGAATCAGCTTAATAGCTTTGCACCCAAATATTGCTTGGGTTACATACTTTCTGAATTTTGTGCTGTAGTTTTTGACTTTATTTTTTATTTATTTTTTATTTTTATTTTTAATTTGATTTATATGCCGCCCTTCTCCGGAGACTCAGGGCAGCTTACACTGTGCTCAGCAATAGCCTTCATCCTTTTGTATATTTATACAAAGTCAGCTTATTGCCCCCACAAACTGGGTCCTCAATTTACCTATCTTAGAAAGGATGGAAGGCTGAGTCAACCTTGAGCCTTGGCGAGATTCGAACCTGCAGTAATTGCAGGCAGCTGGTCTCAATAACCAGCTTAATAACAGGGTGCCTTAGACCACTGTACTACCAAGGCTCTTTGAAGAAAATTCAATACTTTCAATACAAATTATCCTGGCTCAAGCAACTCAAGCCATCAAGGTTGTTTTGGCCTAATGTACAGCAGCATAGGCTAATAAAATATAATATCTAAATATGAATAAATAAGGTAGTTTTTTCATATGTATGAGTGAATATAATTTTAATAAACTAATATGAAGAGGGAAAAGTCACATAGCTGGATGTTTTTAAATTATTTTAAGCAGAATGGGATTAAGTTTATATGTAAGCTTTACGAGGGATGAGTTTGACATGCTTCTAATGTTCTAACATTTTTTTGTCAAATTTCATCCCATTCTGGGATAAAACCATGAAAGGTACAGCCTCATATTTATTCTCACCCCCACATACACACACCCTTGCTACATAATGGGAGGTGGAAAGAAGATTTCCCAAATAGAGCTTGAGAATTAGGAATTATTGGCATGAGTGAGGTATAGATCAACATAAAGTCAATTCCTGAATATTTAGAAATACTTTATTTACTAAACTTTTGTAATCTGAGATAGATGTTCCTCATTCCAATAATAAAATTGCTTGCTTCATTTAATAAAGGACTCTTTTTGTTTAGGTTATACCTCATTCACAGGATTGTAATTGACTTTAGGAAAAATACGTTTTTCTAAATGGAGTATTTATTTTTATCCCACCTTTATTACTTTTTATTAGTAACTCAAGATAGTGAAAACACCCAATATTCCTTCCTTCTATTTTCCCGACAGCAAGAGTCCTGTGAGGTTGATGGGGTGACTGTCCCAAGGTCATTCAGCCAGCTTTCATGCTATAGTGGGATTAGAACTCAAAACTCACAGACTCCTGATTTCTAGCCTAGTGTCTTAACACTGGGACAAACTGACTCTCAAATATTAAATGAAGTAAATAAATATTCATGTTTCTCTGATAGTTTTATCTAGCAGCCTCCAAATCCAAAGTATAGTTAGTTAGGTAAATTCGATTTGCAAGTTCCCCTCGCTCATTGACCATCACTGAATACCTCACTAATCTGGCCAATGATGAACTATTTAATGTGGTAGTCATAAGCTGAAGGATGACATGGCTTACTCAGTGGGAGGGAAGAGATTTGAAGCTTTTCAGGAAATAAGAATTATTTGGTTTTGGCTTGAAAAGAAGCTGAACCACTTCACAGTTTAGAGGAAAGTAGTTATGTTATTTTTTATTTTTTTTTGAGTTGAAGTTAAATTAAGTCAAAGTTGGTTCATTGCTGCATTTATGGAAAAATAACACCCATCTACCAAAAGTTCACTGATCACCCAACCAGCTTTGTATGAAATCAAATCGATACCAAATCGAAACCAATTGGGAATTGGCTATATGTATTGGCTATATGTTTATTGTTTGGAAGAATGAGCAGAATGGGTGTATGATTAACTAGATTTGACTCATTATCTGTTGCTGGAAATTGTTTGAAAATGATTAGTGAAATACTGTTTTTCGAACTGAAAGTGTGTTATATTAATCAGTTGGGTGACTTGGGCCAATCACCCTTTCAATCCAATCCACCTCACAGGTTTGTTGTTGTGGGAAAAATAGGAGGAGGAAGGTCAGGGAATATGTTTGCTACCTTGAGTTATTTGTAAAAAATAATATAGGCAGGATATAAGTAAAATAAATAAGTAAGCTTATTTGAATTCATATAGAGATATTTTCATTTCCAGCCAGAGTTAACATAATTTACAAAATCTTATATTTTACATGTCTGTTTGTGTCTTGAAGTTTAAATCCAACCCAGTAGTCATTGCTAGTGTCAATCACGGAGCATCTTCAGGGTTGCCACAGTCGGGCTGGCTGGAGTTATGGGAAAAGGAAGGGGGAGTAGAGATAACTGAGGGAAATATGTAGCCAAAATAACATTCATTCTTCTGGGAACCAAGGACACTCTTACCAGCAACTGGAGGGGCATGGATGGGAGGCATTTAGGATGGGGAGAGAAACCTGATTGGGGCATGTGATGGTTGTGTGTAATGTGGGGAAGAACTTTGGATTTGAACTGGATGGGGAAAACCCAGGGGACGTCAGATTCGGGTTTTCACCAACTGTGCCAATATGACATGCCTAATAAATCTATACTTTGAGGAACCCTGCCTTGGAGTTTTGATTTCCTATGGGCTGTTACTTGGAACCCTGACAGCTGGAACTACAAATGTCCACTTAATATACTTTGGTTGCCTAGCCAACTGAAGCAGCAGTTCACATGCTGTAGCAGAGTTTTCAGAACTGCACTAATTACTGTTCGAGTACTTGGTCTAGTCTGTTAGTTTAGAGTGTAATAAACTGAAATTTATGACTATTCTTATCAACATGGTTACAATTTTAGTGCTCTGTTTCTTATCTTTTGGTCTTAATACATACTCTTCCCAACTTGTTCAGTCTCTCCTATTAGTCATCTAGCTCTTAAAAGCAAAACTTCCATAGACTTTCAAAGGCTCTTAGTAAATTATACACAGGAACATTCTGATGGAAACACCAGAGGCTCACAAAGGACTGATTGAGCCAAAGAAGGCATAGAGAAGAGTGAGCGTTGTCTCAAAATGAAGGGAAAAGGTATAGCACAAATGGGGCAAGGATGAAGCCCCACAAAAACCTATCTTTTCATCTTACTCTATTGACAAATTAGATTTGCTGACTAATCTTGGGATATTGTGAGATGTTGATGCTGGTAACCTATTTTTATAATTATGACCGATACCAGAGAACATATTTTATGTTGTACTACTTCAATTACCAAACTTTCTACCCAGCAATGTGCATTCAGTCTACTTTTCTCAGTGGGAAGAGGGTACTCAGTGCCTCAGGATAGGCCTTTTAATGAAAAGATTAAACTCCTCAAACCTCAATACTCTATGTCAGGCACGTTGCATCATGTCTAGTTTGGCCCTCAGTTCCTGTTGCTCCTAGGTAGGCCCAGCAAGAGTGATAAGGAATTTCAATGATGCAAGAAGGGATCCAAATCTGTTAGGGAAAAAAAAGGGTGGGGCAGGATATAATGTACCCATATAAGGCATTGCAACCATTGCTAAAGTAAGAAACATTACTCCTTCCAACTGAGCAAGCATATGATTTTTTTTCACTCTTCCCAATCCAATCAAATCTTGGAAATAAAACATCTGAAATAGATTTTATTTGCTTTTTATCTGATTTTCATGCTTAAGGAAGGACTAGAACTTACAGTCTCCTTGTTCCTAACCAGCACTTTAATCATTACATGCCTCTTGATGGTATTTTAATTCTGTGCCCAGGGCAGAATCTCCTAATTGGATGACCAGATTCACATATTGAATCTTGAATGGATCACTGCTGAGATCCCATTTTGGCACCAAGTCAGTTAAAAGGCACTTGACTGCTGCACTGGCATCTGCCATTCTGCCCACCAACACGATAAATTACCAAAAACAGAAATGGAACCATTTTTGTTATTGGAAGAGAGGTTGGCAAAATATAGTTCAAATAAAAATGGCCAGATCAAGCTGGGGACTGCAGAGAAAATGATCAGAAAGAAAATCCTTAATATGTGCCTATGGAAAAGAGAGCTATGCTGTCAAATGCTGCCCATTGCTCAACTTTCAAGCCCTCCTCCCTTTTCTTTCCCAATCACATGGATAGCAGTATTATTAAGATTTTGGAAGGAATACCAGAAACCACATTTTACATGCTTTCTCTCTTTATTCTCTCCTTGTCACGAGGCTGCACACTTGGGACTTCAGATATCCAGAGTCCATGTCCCGAGGCTTGTGGCTAGGTAACAATAAAAGATTTTTTAAAAATCCATGGAATATGCCCTTTGTGTTTGGTCTGCTGGCTGTATGATTAGGAATCTGCTGTGCTGTGTAGATGTTCAATCATGTTTATACCCCTGTTGTTCCTTTACCTTGGAGGATGCTGATGAGTAGCCATGCATTTTTACTATGAGAGACAAATCCACTCAATTGCTTTTCTTAACAATTTAACTTTTTTCCCTTAGAACAAAATTCTAACTTTACCTTATTACTTGTTTCATTCCTCCTTTCTTTTACCAGGCAAAAAGTTAGTCTGAAATGTCTTGATTTCTGCCAGAGCGTTGCTTGAGGAACCTATATATAATGAATGCATGCCTCCTCACTATAAATGAGTTGCGGACTGTTTGACTGATCCACCTGAAGGCCAGACAAGGAATAATGGATGGAAACTGACCAAGGAGAGATTCAACCTAGAAATAAGAAGAAATTTTCTGACAGTGAGAACAATCAACCAGTGGAACAGCTTGCTTTCGGAAGTTTTGGGAACTTCATCACTGGAGGCTTTCAGGAAGAGATTGGACTGCCATTTGTCAGGGTCTCCTGCTTGGACAGGGGGTTGGACTAGATGACCTACAAGGTCCCTTCCAACTCTGTTAATCTAATCTATAAAGTTTCAATGATTCTGCATTCTTGAGTTGGAAAAGTACTTAGTATGCATACGTGAAAGCTGAGAATTCTGCATGCTGTATAGGTAGTCCTCAATTTACAAGTTAATTTTGTGACTGATCGAAGTTACAATACCAAAAAAACGATGTATGACCATTTATCACACTTACGGCTGTAACAGCATCCTGATGGTCATATGATCAAAATTCAGACCCTTGGCAATTGATTCATATTTATGACCGATGCAGTGTCCCAAGGTCATGTGATCACCTTGTGCGACCTTCTGACAAGCAAAGAGAATGGAGAAGCCAAATTCACTTAGCAACCACGTTACTAACTTAACAACTGCAGTTATTACTGATTGGAGCCTCTGCCAATCAGAGTAGAAAATACTCTACTGCAAGATCAAAACGTCATAAGCAGCATATTCTGCAAAAGTAATTTAAGGTGGATAAGAAGAATTGGTGGTATTTCTTCATAATAAACTATGTGCTACAGTAAGGGTAACAGAGTTGGAAGGGACCTTGGAGGTCATCTAGTCCAACCCCCTGCTCACGCAGAAGACCTGTACTAGGGATTTGAACCACCAAATTGCCGACCTTTCTGATCAACAAGCTCAGTGTCTTAGCCACTGAACCACCTAGTCAGGCTGGGAAGATGTGGTCTTTCTACCCCTGTAGAAGCTGATGCAATATGAGTGAAATGACATTCTAGCTAACCAAAAATATTGTGCATATATAAGTTCCAAAGGTGCTTTTTCAAGAGGTAACTGGACTCATCCAAGAAGCAAAACATCTTTAAAGAAAAACCAGAAAGTCCAGTTGCCTCTTGAAAAAGCATCTTTGGGACAACCATGACCTGGATGACTGAGAATCTCCATAGACATCTGCATATATAAGGTATTGGCAAGCATATCACATTGATTTCAGACTGTAATCACAAGAGAATGGAAGAAACATTTTCTGAAAATGAAGAAAACTGTAATGGAAAAAATATCATTTTGAACCTAGGTGATTTCCCAACTTGCCTAAATTGAGTTTTCTAGAATCACACAACTATTGTTGTACCAAATTAACAGCAATGAAAATATGAAATGACATACAGTACAACCTAATGAGAAAAAGATAGACAGAGACAGAGAGAGGGAGGGGGAAAAGTCACACGATCAAAATTCAGATCCTTTCTTTCCTTTTTGCACACTCCCAATGCAGCTTCAGGACGGAGGCAAAGAGAAGATAGATATGGCATTCGTAGATAAGCATGGTCTTTCTAGGATTTTTTTTCACTGGCTACAACCAGGAAGGGACAGCTAATGCTCTAGTAAGGTTTATCAATTTTGATCACCTTAAGATGTATAGACTTCAAGTCTGGGCAAACATGGGAATCAAATCCTATTGGCTGGGGAGTTCTGTGAGTTGAAGTCCATAAAATTTAAAGTTGCCAAGATTTTTGGCAATAGGGTTGATTTGGAGAAATGGTTTTGTGTTAAAACTACCTTTATCTAAGACAACATACTATGCAGATCTTTAACCATAATAAAGATTTGATTTGCTTAGTTAAGCATATACTGTAAGAATGAGGCTACTAGGTATCATCATTCCTAGTACTGCTGATGTTGATTCTACTGGCTAAAAGTCACCTCTAGTGTTACGTTCTGTTCATTATAGCCCATATTTTTATTTAAAGTCCTGACTTAGCCAGGAAAAGCCCAGCACAGCAATAAGTATCTAGCACTATTTGCTGATGAAATTGTGATAATGAATGACTTAGCTAGGGCTGAAGAAATATATAAATAGCTGATAGATTACAGTTATCAATTGCACAAATCTGGATTAAATATCAGCTACTGTTTAGAACTAGGCGAGTATCATTTTAATGGTGTCATGAATCATCTGCCAATAAACCTAAAGGTTATTTAATCCATTATTGGTTATTGCACATTTGGATTGCTAAAATACGTATGACCGCTAGAGGGCAGCAAAAGGATACAGTAAGTCCTCCTTGTAGAGCCAGTCCCTCTAGAAGTTAAGGTATCAGGCCAGAAACTAGGAGATCATGAGTTCTAGTGCCACTAGCCACAAAGTCACTTGGTCTAGTCATTCTTCATTCTCTTTCAGCCCTAGGAAGGAGACAAGTGCAAACTGCGTCAGAAATATTGCCAAGAAAACGGCAAGGCCTTGTCACCAGGAATACAAACAAATAAAACCTGACTTTGGTTTTGAAGAAACTAAAATAGAGTAACAGTTATTTGCTTCCATCTAGTGGCCATCAAGTAGGATGTCCCACAGGTGCTTTTTCAAAAGGTAGCTGGACTTCCCCCCTCCCATCAAGTAGGATGATGTGCTAACTCATTTCTCCCCAGTATGTCCCCAGCAAAACCAGCTTTAAAATTGTATCTGTGTCTTAGCATCACCAACACCACATTCAGTATCTCTGAATGATCCCATTTTTCTATATCACATAGAGAGTCCTCTGAAACCTTGGTCTGCAAATCTACCGACATTAGAGACACCGTATCTGGGTTGCTAATGTAAGAATAACCATTAGGTGAGTTTTTGTGTACCTCTTTGCTGCCATTTACTCATTGTTTGGATGTTTTCAGCCCAATTCTGATATCGCTATTTAATTACAACATTTCTTCACAGCTTTCCATATATAGATTCTGCATAAGATATTTAACAGGACAATTGCTTATCATATATACATGCATACATACATTCCATTTTCTTTTGTCAATAATTCTCAGACATCTACAGCGCATATCTAATAATACTTAAAACCAAGTAATTGATAATCATAGGTCAAGTGTGACTTTTTAATTGGATCTTCTTTCACTTCTGGAATCAATCCGTTCCCCCTCAGCCCTGATTTTTTTTTAATTAAATGAGATTACTTACCAAAGGTCCTTAATAGGTGGATATAAGATTGTTTTATAAATACAGCTTTATAGATCTGTTCCTATTGTAAGAACCTACATGCTATTTTATGAAAGTGAATCAAAGGGATTTTGAAATTTAATGAATTTAATCAATTATATTAAGCTCTTCTATCACTTGATATATTTGATTTGAATCAACAGTACTGATACATAGATAAATAAGTATTGATATAATTTCTTTGTATTACAGTAACACATCAAATAATTGAGAAAAAATATCCCAATTTATTAATTTTCCAAAAGTCTTAGTTACCTAAAGTCTAAATTAATCTTAAATTAAATCACAAATATTTGGATCCTTAATCATTTTTTAAAATAAAAGGAGAGCTAATCTACCTTTTAGTAAAACATGGATTAAAATTCCCAAAGCCATACGAAGAACAAAGTCATATATTACATCCTCTTTTCTAACTTTTTCTGTTTTGGCCATTTGTATCATTAAGATGTCAATACTTCCCAATGAAAAAGAACTGCTCATTTTACATTAATCTGGTCATTTCAGCATAACTATGCCAATTTTTTAAACAGAAATCTATTATCTTGCAATATGGTCAGATGTTTAAAAATTTTCCTCTTAACTCTGGGCATAGTTGTACCTCTAAGGACACAGTTCTAAGAATGAAAGTTGATCTATGAAAATAGTGGCATTACAAACCAAATGTGAATGGTTTAGTTAGAAATACATGAAGACTGAGAAGTCTGTGTTTAAGGATCTCGTGGAAATTTGAAATTAAAGAGAAAATGCAATGAGATAATTATTATAAAAGTTCCATATTAATAAAGTTTCTATAGCTATGGATTATGGCAAAGAATTCAGCAGGAGACAAATTTATATAAATAAGTCATATAATGTATTGGAGCCATGTTTGTAATTTGTATTGCTACTACATATTTAAACTTCCTGGAAGATAAGCAGGGTAAGCACAGAGAAGTTGGGTGTGGACTATTTGGGAATTCCAAAGACAGCCTACAAAAAAATAAATGGGAAAAAACCACTTCCATAATAATGTCAAGAAAATTATAGCAGGCAACCAGAAGAAGTTGGGTTCGGTCCGAGTGTGCCTATCCCTCTTACATGCCTCCTGGTTTTAGCCTGTTGTAGTGAGACAGCTTCATCCATGATAGCTGAAATACCATTATTGATTTCCTCCATATGGGAATGTTTCTCTCCTCTAAGGAACAATGTTAGTTAAACTGTAGAAATATACTTTGAAGTCCAAATATTTTATATCTAAAAAATAACTTCATTCTTACTTAAAACAAGTTCAAGACTGCTAATATTACAGGGCTATAATATTATTGCATGAAATTATCACATCCCAAACTCGGAATTTATAATCTGGCATACTGTCTATCACTATTTACATATTTTTTTCAATATTCTAAGTCTGTCTAAGTGCAGGAAAATGATAAATAAGCTTTACTAAGAGCCTCCAACTCAACTATTAAAAATTTGAATGACTCATATTCCATTAATTAATTAATTTATTAAATTTATTTGCCATTATCTTGCCGTGAGGCTACTCTAGGCAGCTTACAATAATAGAAAGAAAAATGAAAAGCATGTAAACAGCAGTAAAACAATAGAACAATAAAGTAAACAATGACAAAGAAACACACTGAGAATAAATACATCTATGTGATAAGGAAAAGGGAGAGGATTTTAAACATATTTGTTTATATTTTTTATATGAAGAAAACCAATTTAGCTCTATTCTAGCAACTGAATAAAAAAGTGTAGCTCCGTGGCTAGCTGGGCTTCTAATAACATATGATCAAACATTTTACAACATGCTTTATTTGCAACAATCACAGGTTATCTTATCTAAATATTCATTCTGACTGTAATGCTAATCAAACCTTATTGTACCTCCTAGGTAGAATCTCATTTGCTCTGCTAAGGGAATTGTGCTTCAAGTGAGTTAAGTAGAGTTAACTTACTTGGTCAATGTCTAGTTCTCAGCTGTAAAAAATCAACTTGAGGTAGAAAACTGCTTGGAAACAAAATCATTTCCTTTGGATAATATTTTCCTTTTTATATAAATATACATCTGAGAATTAAATCAAAAGCATCTTAAAATTTGTACACAATTTATTTAATTTTTTGCAATTGTGAACATATTATACTGTATTTATCAACAACAAAACCCATGTTTCCAGAGATAAACTCCTGATTCATGTCTGTTAAAAAGTTCTTAGCATTCACAGTATCACAGTTCTTAGCATTCATTTGAGTGACCCCACACCCCTGTGCATAATGGATTATGAGCCCTTTATTATTATCTGCTGGAGTTGGATTAGACTGTATATCTGAAACTCAGACCCAAGTTTTGGTTTCACTTCAAATCCAGTTGATAACATACCTTTGAAAAACAGCACAACTCCAACAGGAACAAAACATTTAGACAGGGATTATGCATAGAAGTTACATCAATTCAAACCTTAAATCAGTCAAATCAGTTCATTGCAAATATACATTTTTGTAACAGACTTGGAAATAAATCTTTTAATAATCTAACATAATTAAACACATTTTAATAAATAAATTTATAACAAAAATAAATGTTTATATAACTATAGAATTACTTCAATTTATACATTTTAGTAAATCAATTTCTTTGCAGCAATTAAGGTATTCTTCAGGAGCATGGCAACTGTCATTGGTCCTACCCCTCCTGGGACAGGGGTGATAAAACTAGCTTTCTTCTTTACTTCTGATATTTATAAAAAAAAAAGGGGAAAAACTGTGTAAAAAACATGTATTAAAATATCTGTATATTCAAATGCAATCGACCCCCAACAATGGACAACAATTTTCATAGGTTTATTTTTGGGGAGCATCTAGAGCTAGCTGAATAGCAGGATTTTTTTTTAAAGACACATAAATCGAAAACACTGGTTTTCCAGTTCCAGCATAGTTCTTGTTACAAAGAGTCTCAAATAAAATAGGAATTAATAGAAACCAGTTGAAATTATATTAAACTGTAAGTCAGCTCAAGCTTGATTCAGACACATCAGTGTTCCTTTATCAGAATGTGAGGTTTCTCCCACTTGCTGAATAGTTGTTTATTAATCCCAGGGTTAATGCACGCAGGTTTATATTCATGTCACTGTGTGTAATCTGTTTTTAGTAGCATCCACAGGAACATCAGACAAGCAACATGGTGATTCCCAGCATCATAAGTCCTACCGCTTTTGTATTAAAAAATGAGCCAGGGCTCAATTATAACATCACAATCAGCATCTTGCCTGTTTTAACATCCCCTATGGATGCCACTGCCTCTTTCTATTTTATTCATTTGCTATTCATATGCCCAGAAATTGGTTCAATTCTTTTTTTAACCACAGATTTATAATATCTGAAATAAATCACAGCTTCTGTTTCTTCATTGACACTGGAAACAATTTATTATTTGCTGAGTTTCCTGAAACCAAAGTTATAATTACTTGTTACAAAAATTGCAGAAAATGCGGAATTTTCATTAAATTTCAAAAAACATTGCTCCAATCCAAATTTAAAAAAAAATCAAAAGAACAAATGCAATAGTGTTGATGAAGTATAGGATAAAAATACAGCCATTGCCATTTTCATTAGGCACCAACAGAATTGATGGAATGACACAATTTTTTAAATATAGTTTCTATCACTTGAGTTATTCTTCCTACAATAAACATAGTCGGGGGGCCCTCCCCAAACTTCTGGATCCTTAAACAACAGCTCTCATGGCTTCCTTAACTACATTCATAAGGTGGGGGTGGGGAACTCAGAGCAATAATGAAGGGAAAAGGGTCACAAAGAGGTTGGAAGATCTCCAACCTGTAATTCTATTTATCTCATTAAAAATTGATCTGACAGATAACATTGTAATTGGGCTCAAATTAGATTGTTATCCAAATTAGACATTTCTCTGACACCAAGAAAGTATGGCTACCCACCATGTTTAGGTACTCAAGGATCTATTTTATATTGCATTATCCTTTTTCTCTAAATACAACTTATTTAATTTCAGAGCATTTGTCTCAAGAGTTCTAAGAAACTGTCTTGCTCTATCAGTACTTTCAACTTCCAAAAGAAATGAAATTCATCCTTAATAAACAGAATCCTCTGCACAAGAAGATCTTCATTCTTAGATCCAAATTGGATTTATCATTCCAGAAAATTACTCAAAAATAGTTTAATAAGAGCATTATTTTGGTTTTTGACCTAAAGATTTTGCAATCATAAGGCACATTTAACATTCTGTACTAATAACTTCAGGATTATTTTGCCCAAATAATAAATTTAATAGAAATGACTTTCAATTATATATTTTATTTTCATAGCTACAAATTTTGAGTATAACCTCTAAATACAGGTAACTTAGTATAGAATGTTTATGTACTATATATGAGAACCATAAGCTATATTATTTATTTATTAAATGTATATACTGCCCATCTCTCTGCTACTCTGGGCATCTAGGACATCATAAAGTTTATACAGGTAATCAATTTACAACAGTTCATTTAGTGACCATTCGAAGTTACAACAGTACTGAAAAAAGTAACTTATGACCATTTTTCACACTTACAACCATTGCAGCATGGTCACATGATCAAAATTCAGATGCTTGGCAACTGACTCATATTTATGATGATTGCAGTGTCCTGGGATCAAAGTCAATGGGGAAGCCAGATTCACTTAACAACTATGGCAAGAAAGATTGCAAAATGGAGCAAAACTCACTTAACAAATGTCTTACTTGGCAACAGAGATTTTGGGCTCAACTGTGGTTGTAAATTGAGGACTACCTGTATATCATTAAATATCAGATTATCTAAGAGAAATCTTCTAAATTAAGAACTATTAACCTGTGTAATTAAATGTAATTAATGGAGACAATATATAGAACCACTGTTTTGATTCCAAAGTAAATTGTAAAATATAGGAGACTGGAGGCTAAACATATGAAGAATGGTTGCAGGAACTGGGTATGTCTAGTTTGATGAAAAGAAGGACAAGAGAAGAAGGAAATGATGGCAGTGTTCCAATATCTCATGGGCTGCCACAAAGAAGAGGGAGTCAAGCTATTCTCCAAAGCACCTGAGGGCAGGACAAGAAGCAATGGGTGGAAACTAATCAAGGAGAGAAGCAACTTAGAACTAAGGAGAAATTTCCTGACAGTTAGAACAATTAATCAATGGAACAACTTGCCTCCAGAAGTTGTGAATGCTCCAACACTGGAAGTTTTTAAGAAGATTTTAAGTAACATTTGTCTGAAGTGGTATAGGGTTTCCTGCCTAAGCAGGGGATTGGACTAGAAGATCTCCAAGGTCCCTTCCAACTCTATTCTATTCTATTCTATTCTATTCTATTCTATTCTATTCTATTCTATTCTATTCTATTCTATATATGTTCATAAACAGTCAGAGGAACCTTTATGCACAGGTTGAAGGCTTAGACCAGGGGTGGGGAACTATGGCCCTTTTATGATTTGTGGACTTCAACTCCCAGAATTCCTGAGCCATCCATGCTGGTTCAGATATTCTGGGAGTTAAAGTGGCTGGCACCCCTGGTTTAGACTTACAAAAGATGTGGGAGGGGCAGAACTTTCAACCAAATTTTAATTATATACTTAGTGTTAAGCATTTGCTTAATTTCATCCTCTGGAAATAAAGCTTAAGACTGATCATTTATTTCTTTAATTTAAAAAAAAATATTTTGCATTTCTAAGAACATAGGAATTTGGCTTACCTTCAAAGTCTACATCTCCTACTAACTTTGTCTTTCCAGTGACAGGATCATGAATATGGTTAATACCAACATCAATCACTGCAGCTCCTCTTTTAATCATATCAGAAGTAATTAACTTTGGAATACCTGAAACCATCAATGCAATTAAGTTTACAGAACCAGAGAAAAGTGATTTTCAGGAAATACTATATATATTATAAATAAATTTTATATACATACATACATACAATACATTTATGACAATACTTTATATTGCAGTGTGCACAAATTAAGCAAGACAAATTTCAGAAACCATATGAAACAACTATTTTTCACCAATGTTTCTCTTGCATTACTGTATTTTATTTATCTAACACTTACACACCTTCCACAATCCTAACTACACTACATCTCTTGTATCCTACATAATTCATGCTACATCCCTATGCAATCTCCCTGATCTGCATGGTATCACTTGTGCACCCTTACACACTTATCTAGACCTGCACAATGCCTCTCACACACCCCTCAAACATTCCCCAACTGACATGGTAGTTCTCATGTACCTCTGTATCTCACCAATGAGGAGCATGTACTGGAAGTCAGGAAATACAGTATGTGCGGTTCTGGGGAATGTGCATGGGATGCAGTGTATGTCAGGAAGGATTTGCAAGAAGACTGACATAAGAAATTAAAAAGAGAATTAAAAAAGCTATCAAATTACTTCAAGAATTCATCTAAGCTTTACACTAGTTTTTTGTCAGAATAATTTCTGGAACAAAGAACTGTCTAATGCTATCAGAAGTACTGCTTCTATATATTTTTTTTTCTGTTTTACAAGCACAATTAAAAAAAAAACTATAGTTATAAAGAACCAGAAAAATGCTGCATATTCCAAATATTTATAATTTGCAAAAATGTCATACTATTAATTTCTCACACTAGATAAGATAACTGGGTACTGAATATGAAAGAGTAACTGATTAAATAATACTAAGTGAAATAGGATCTAAATGACGAGAGAATAGTAATGCTGGTTAAATATGGAGAATGGTTAGCTTCAGATAGCTGTAATACAGTTGTATGCACCTGAACAGAAAAAAATAGTGGCACCCTGTCCATTTATCACAAATTAAAAAGATTGTTCAAAAGTTTTACTGAGATACATTTTGAAAATTCTGCATCTAATTAGAAATACCCAGGTTGGAGATGGTATATATGCACATATGTGCTTAACTAATTCCCACAACCCTGTCAAATAATTTACTAAGACTGTATTACTATTATTCTTCTGTTCCTTACTAGTATCTATCTCTTCCCACTTATTACTATAATCATGTTGCTTGTATCTTTCAATTATATTGTTTTTATTTGTAGTTTGATTTGATAGCTTATTAGTAACCTTGACTATCACTAAGTGTTGTATCTTTTTATTCTTGATGAATGTATTTTCTTCTTCTTATGTACACTGAGAGCATATACACCTAAGACAAATTCCTTGTGTGTCCAATGACACTTGGCCAATAAAGAATTCTATTCAAAAATTATTTATATTGTATACTATTTATATGGAATATAAAGAATCATAAAGAGCATATTAAACAATTTACAATTTGTACAATTTGATATGCACATTTGTAATTACAAACATTTGTAATAAACAGGGTTCACCTAGGACTGATTAGATTAAGACAATTCCACATATCATGTCCCCCCTGTAGCACCTGACTATTCCTGAAGATGACTTTAAACAATCCAGTTTGGACTGCAATGATTTAACAACAGGACCAGGTTTGGTCTACAAATTTTGACTGGCTATTTCCCTTCTTTGAGCACTTTCATCTATGTAGGAAAGGCAAATATCTATGGTTGGCCTCAGAGTGGGTGGATATCTTGGTGCCTGATTAAGGGATTTCCGCACTAGTCCTCATTTTACTTTGCTTTCCCAGATGCACTAGTCCTCACTACTCCTTCCTCGCTAGTCCTAATTCTTTTAATTTGCTTTCCAGATGTTTTCATACATGCATGCCTTCACAACTCTCTCCCATATTTCATTAATGTTAAAAGTAATTAAACCCCTTTCTTTTGTTCTTTCTTTTCTTCCACTGTTCCATTGTCGCTGTAGTTCTGGAAAAATGAAAGCAAGGGGAACAGATTGTTCCTTCATTTTTATGTTCTACCATGGATCCAAGGAGCAAAACTTTTGGTTCATGCTTCATATAATCAAAATAGCATGTATTGAAATTTCATTTCAATGTACCTAATTGCAGTACATTTTTAGGGGAAAAAAAACAAAAGAAAGGGAGGTTTTGCAGTACTGTGAGAAAGCAATGAGAAAGCAAGGGGAACATGCTTCACCAAGCCTGGATATAAGCAAAAAGGGTGCCCACAGAGAGACATAAGTGTTAAATGAAGTTATGAGCTTCTATAAGAGATAGGAAAACACAGAATGAGGCAAGTTCATTGGCTTAATAGACCATAACTTTGTTTTAAAAATGGCAGCTATCAACCACCACAGCATATAGAAATCTGGCAGTTCAGTACAAAGCAGCTGTTATTGGGCTGCTTGGAAACAGCAGGCAGGAGGGCCAGTTGTGATGGGGCTAGGAGAGGGTGGAGGATGACTGTATCAGTTTCTGAACTCAAGAACTGGAGGATGATCCATACCAGTGACTGGAGCAAGGACAAAATATAGATCTGCCCTAAAATTAAAATTTCCCCACTCAGCAATAACGTTCCCCACTTAATATGACTAGTTCTCATTTCAATTTTCTTCACAGGATCGTTCTTAAGATAAATTTAAGTGGTGAGAGATGAACTCTATAAGTTATCTGGAGCACCAGAAAGGAAAATGAGACCTGAATTCTATAAATAAACACATAAATAAAAATAATCATGTGGGAGAGAACTCTGGAAGTTCTGATCCAACATTACTGGAGAACCATAGGCTGGGAAGGACTCATATCAGTGGTGGGTTGCCCCCGGTTCAGACCAGTTTGCAAGAACCGGTAGTAAAACCGGCGGGAGGCTCCACCCACCGACCCGAACGTCATCAGGAAGTTTCTGTGCATGCGGTCCCATTGCGAACCGGTAGTAAAGGTAAGTAGAACCCACCCTTGACTCATAGCCATCATGATAAAAAGAAGAAAAATCCAGAAGAGACTGATACAATACAGTTCTTGGTTAAGAATGCATGAAGGAGCCTTCCAAAGATGAAGACTGAATGACACGTACCATAAGTGAAAACAGAGAGGAATAATAACAGATATGCTGAATGAGAGTGTTTTCAGGCAAGAAGGAAGCATACCTAACTTCCATTCTTGAACTGAAAAGAAGAAAGCAACAGCAGTTGTAGAAGAGTGCCACAGAGATTAAAAAAGGCAAATGGTTCTCATCAGACAAATGCCAAAAGTTGAGACTGGCAGAACTGAAAACAAAGCCAGATCCTCTTGTTTGATCCCTACTTCAATGGCAATTTAGGCAGGAGAATCAGAGGTCTGTGAAAGAGAAATCAGGAACAGGGAGAAAGGAGAGAGGGGGAATAATGGTAGATTTTGGCATTTGCATTATATTTGCATGCCAAAAATTCTCAGACGTAATTAATTGAAAAGCAAGTCTGAGGATAACCTTTTTCTATAAAGATATTGGTGTATCTAGCCGATTACAAACATACTAATTTTGAAATACGCTTCTTTTTCCTTAAAGGTAATAGAAACACAGTATCTTAATCTAAATAAAACTTAGTGATTTAGAAAAACAAATAAAAATTTCACTCAATTGCACAATTGTGACTTGTTTTTATCATCTACTGTAGTATGGGAATGGCATATTTGTCCATGCAAGACTATTATGGTACTTTATATAAATGTCAACAAATCAAGCTGGAAATTTAGTTGGGGGGGGCAATATTAATTCTCATGCAACCAACATTAGCTCATTAAGTAATATATTGGGGTGCATGGATATGTTGCATGACTGTGTGCAATGATTTGTGTTTCTGATGTAGTTTATAGGGCTTTTTCTTTCAAAAGAGTTTTGTCAAATTGCCAATTTAAAAAAAAAATCAAAATAAAAGCAAACCAAGAAAAACTAAAGAATAGTAAATTGAGATTGAAGTTTGGCTGTGAATGCTCCACAGCCATTTTAGATAATATAATTTGCATTAATTGTAATTGCATACTACTACGTCTTTAAAATCTACGTTGATTTTTATATTATCTTAGCTAATTTTGTTTTAGCAAAACACATTAAATTTCGAATTACAGAAACAGCACAGTACTGATGTTTAATTCCATTGAATGACTTTTAAAAACTGATAATGCTCCTCACCTGCAGCAACTATCACAATGTCCGCAAGCTGTGTATGGATCATCAGCTGATCTTTTGGTGTATATCTATGAGTTATTGTCACAGTAGCATCACCTGTCACATATATAAGTAAAAAAGGCAGTGTGGAGAAGTCAGAGTTCAGTGCATAAAGATGGAGTTTTGTATTTCTAAACAAAAACATTAGTTTTCCCACGTTATTTTTAATGCAATATTATTGATAAAAGAAGTTTTTAGTCTTTTAGATAAATGCAAAACAGAATATAATCCCACCCCTCCAATCTTAAGAATTCTGGAAAAGAGATAAAAAGAAAAAGGCTATCACTACACGCTTATCACTTATCAGCAGTGGCAACAGGATATTTATTTATTTACAAAATAAATTTATCCCCAAAGAAAATCTTATTTCCGATTAAGTAAAACTGATTTTACTGCATATGCAATAAGGAATGAGGTCTTTTTTTTATAGCTCTTTCCCTTCTCTCCCTGTTAAGATTTCCAACAGAATAATGTAAAATGTTCTTCAACCTACCTCCAGGCCTTTCATGTTCCCCATCAGTATGTAAAAGCATTGAAATGGGCATTCCAACGTTTTTTGATCTTCCAACTACAACAACATTTCTTCCAAATGTTTGTATTCCTTTAAAAAAACAATAATAACTAAAAACATATGGAAGCTTGTGAAATTAAATCTTTCGTTTCCTATTGAGAAAAGACCCGAGTACACATTAATTTCCTTTTTTACCACAGAATTATGATGAGTGATAGATTTAAGTTTTTATAGTTTTTATTGTTACAAAAGGTTTAATATGAATTTTTGAAGACAATAATTTACAAATAATAACCACAATAGTCAACTGCAATTTTATTTTGTTCATTGTTAAAATTATTATTTTAAATTTACTTTATATAAAAAACAAAATATGATCACTAAGGAGAAGATGGACACCATAACAAAGGACTAAGAAGAATAAGCTGTGTTACTATGCCCAGGATAATTCAAGAAAGTTTAATCTATACTTGCTGCTCAGTCTTCATTTTCAAAAGAGCATTTATATAACTGAACTGCCATTCCATTATTATTTCGGGAATTTAAAATCAGAAAGATAGAAAGCATGTGTGCAAGAGAAAACTGAACACTTCACTAGAAGAACTTAGAAGAAACACTTCACTGCCATAAATTTCTATCTGGAGCAAATTCTCTACCCATAAATACAACAGCATCTTCCCTTGCTTCCAGATAAGCTATAATCCCGGGGGGGAAAAATCACCTGCACGCGCACACACACACACACACACACACACACACACACACACACACAGAGAGAACTCCTGTCCCTTTTTTTAAAAAAAAGTAGCTTGCTTCATTGTCTTCTGTAATGGTTTCTTCTAAAAGTTAGTAGAAAGACTGAAAGTGTTCAATAACAGTATCTAACCCTATTCTTTGTTTCATGCAGGAAACACAGGTCATATTGGAAATACTGTAGATAATCAACACTCTGCTTATACTTCAAAATGTTAAAAAGAATATTAGGATAGAAGTAGAATTAACGCACATACTGAGAATTTTAGGTGCCATCTCCAAAATTGGGTTTATCTAATCATGGTCAGGCTTATCTGTGAGTATATATGGGGTAATGTGGTTACTCATTTTCTCTCTTTTTCAAGTGCAGTGCTCTCAGGCTTACTTTATAAAGTAGCCCAGATGAAATGTGAACAATATTTTGTAGACATTAAAACAATTCCCTTCTAAACAAGCAGACTATTGGGGATATATAAAACAACTAAAGGGGCCAAGTTATTGAGAGATTCTGTCTCCCCACGTAAATCTACCAATTCTGTTAGTCTGGCAGAAAAGGCATGTTAAGAGCCCTGCCATTAAGGAACATCATCTGACAGGACCCAAGAAGAGAGCCTTGTTTGCTGTGGCTCCTGCTCTTTGGAACAACTCCTGTCCTCCTCAGGTTAGATTAACAATCACCCTGCTGGCTTTCTGGCAGGCTCATAAGAAACATCATCATGCGGTATCAAAGCTGTTGATTAATTGCATTGTTAATAGTTAATAGTATTCTTCTGCAAACTACTGGTAGTTTTGTTTTAATAAACTGTTTAATGGCGGTTGGAGGCTTCTTGCGCCAAAACCTACCAAAAGCCACAGGCCAAAAAAAGAGGCCTCAAGTCCTGTTGCTGCTGTCTCTGCACCGGCCATGCATGCGCACCCCATTGCTTGTCAGTGCTGCTCGTGGCCAGACCAGGCCAGGAGAATGGCCTGCTGCGCCAGAGAAACGGCTGGAGACTTCTCGCGAAAGGCGACCAAGCCTCGCCATGTACCCCCACCAAGGTGCAGACGAAGGTGAGCAAGGTGGAGGGCAAGCGGGCAGCATGTGGGCCGGGGAAGGCCAGAGCCAGGGAATGGTGCGTTCCCCAACCCGGGCCAAGGTGAATGGTGAGCGGGTAGCATGCTTACCTTTGGTGAGCAGAGTAGGCGAGGCATGGAGGCAAGGCAAGGCAAGGCAATTAACTGGGCCACATGGCAAAGGCAACATATATAGGGCGGGGTGGGTGTGGGTGGGGCGAGCAGGCAGGCGGAGTGAGCGGCGACCAGGTGGGCGGGGGCAGGGCCAGCCAGAGGTGGTATTTGCTAGTTTAGTGAACCAGTTAAAATTTCCGCTACCTGTTTGCCTGAACTGGTCTGAACCGGTTGAATACCACCTCTGGGGCTGTCCAATGAAAACAGTAACAAGTAAAAGAGAACAGGAAGAGCTATTCAACTTATATTGACTTTTCTAACAAGAGGCAATAGAAAGAGGAGAATAAAAGGGCAAGAATAAAATTTTAGATTGATAGAAACATGATCAGGGAATATCTAACAATTCTGAATGAGTTTAAATTTCCAAGACTGCAGTCTAGATACGATAGTATTAGTGTCAACTAGCGAAATTTTCCTGACCTGCTCCTGAGTTGCCGTAGGCAGGGGGATAGGAAATCGTGCCTCACAGCTGCACCAAGGAATTCGCACCTCAGTCAAAACAAAACACATCCTAGCCCGCCAAAGTCAAGGCCATCTCCACGGAGATCCACAACTGCTGGAGTGATTTCTACAACCTGCTTTGTTGGGGAATGTGACTGGTGACACACCTTGGAGGGGAGGGGAAAACAGGGTCAGAGGCAAGGCGCAAACTGGGTGAAGTCAGAGCTGGCTTCACTTGGTTCATGCTGACATGGCGCTCCTAATAAACTGGAATTTTTTTTTTTTTGAAAGATGGCTTGAGGTTCCTGCTTTTATTAGGGCACTGGTCAGAACCCTGATAACAGTGATCAAATTTTAAAAGAAACCTATTTTAGTACTGAAACTATTTGAAAGTATGGTGCTCTGGTATTTTATAGTTTAAGCGTATACTTCTTTTTCTCAGAGAAATTTCCAGAATGCATTTAACCCCATTTCCTTAAAACACTTGATTCAGTTACCGGTTCTCTTTATTATTTCCCAAACTGCAGCAGCAGTGGCAGGTATAACGGAAGGCTGGTCAAGGCACAATCGCCCAATATTGAAAATATGGAATCCATCCACATCCTTTTCAGGAGCAACACTGTTGCATACCGTCCTTTCATCAATGTGATCTGGAAAAAAAGAATTTTTTCTACATTTAGTTCTAACTTTAAAATACAGTTAGCCTAATAGTTGTTATTTATCTTGTTCAATTTATTGTACCAGTTTTTAAAGGTAAATGTAAATATATAAGAAGGTAATTTCATATGAAGTGTTAAGCATCTATAATGGGACTCCAGATTTTGATTCCACTGACTGGTCACATCTTAATTTAATCCAGTGGGGATGGGTGGAAAATATGCATTTAATTTCACTCAATAAAAAAATACCACCTGCGAGAAGCCATTTCCCCTGTAATGGTCAAACTTTTCCACAGGACATGTTAGAAATTCCTCCTTTCTCCATCAAAGAGGATGTCTTTGATTTTCTGGTATGTAGGAAAAAGTTCTTCTATTCACAAGAATTTCTGAATCAAAAGACATGGCAAATGTTCTGTTTCTTCTTCCGAGAGAGAAACAATTTTAAACTGCTTTAATAAAGTATAAGCAATTTAGTGTTATTCTTTGAAAAATGTAATTTTCAATATATATATATATATATAGGATTTGCGTGGCACTGTTAACTAAAAGCCCTTAAGATGTCATCTTTCTATTGGGGATTCTGAGTTAGGAAAAGTGCTGTTCTGGTTGTTTTTTGCCCATCTCTCCAGGAAAGGGGACTAAAGAGGGGTGCAATGTACTGTATTTATAGTAATATGTCTATGCTGACTATTGAAACAAATCCTACTTCATCCTAGTCAAATGGGATAAAAGAGTTGGAAGGGGCCTTGGAGGTCTTCTAGTCCAATCCTCTGCTCGAGCAGGAGACCTATACCATTTCAGACAAGTGGCTGTCCAGTTTCTTCTTAAAAGTCTCCAGCGATGGGGCACCACAACTTCTGAAGGCAATCCATTCCACTGATTAATTGCTCTCACCATTAGGACATTTCTCTTTAGTTCTAGGTTGGTTCTCTCCTTGATTAGTTTCCATCCATTGTATCTTGTCTTGCCTTCTGGTGCTTGGAAAATACTTCATCTTTATGGTAGCCTTTCAAATATTGGAACAGTGCCATCATATCTCTCCTGGTTATTTTTTTCATTAGTTTAGAGACACCCAATTCCTGCAGCTGTTCTTCATAGGTTTTAGCCTTTAGCCCCCTAACCGTCCTTGTTGCTTTTCTCTGCACTCTTCCATTGTCTCAATATTTTTTTTTATTTTGTGATGACTAAAATTGGATGCAGTATTCCAAGTGTAATCTTACTAAGGCTTTGTAAAGCGGTAGTACTATTTCATGTGTTCCTGATTCTATCCCTCTGTTAATACAGCCTAGGATTGCATTGGCGTTTTGTCTACTGCTGCACATCATTGGCTCATATTTAAGTGATTGTCCACTAGGATTCCAAGATCTCTGTTACAGTTACTAGTATTGATCACATCAAGATCCCTCTCACATACTGGTATTATCATGATTTGACATTTCTTTTTATATGGATCATGTGCTTTGAATTCTATTTTTAGGATGCATTAGCTTAAAAACACAACACACAATTCAAATTACTCATTTCTAATAAGTTAATTGATAGTAAGATTCTGTGCTTCTAGGGCCAATAAAGGTGACCTCAAAAAATTCATTTTTAGAAATGTGTTAAATCACCGCAAATCTGATTTAGAGCTTTGGTGGCGCAGCAGACTAAAGTGCTGTTAACTAGCACCAGCTGCCTGCAATTACTGCAAGTTCAAATCTCACCAGGCTCAAGGTTGACTCAGCCTTCCATCCTTTCGAGGTAGGTAAAATGAGGACCCGGATTGTGGGGGCAATAAGCTGACTTGTATATATATAAAAAAAGAACACCGCTTAGGGGAGGGGGGGGGCAAAAGCCCTTCTAAGCAGGTATATAATAAAAGTATGAAGGCTATTGCTTAACGCATTGTAAGTTGCCCTGAGTCTCCGGAGAAGGGCGGCATATAAATCGAACCAATAAATAAATAAATAAATAAATAAATTTCAGACCAATTTCCCATCCTTATTATTCTGGAACACTAAAATGACATCTTCAATTAATGTTAAGCACAATGAAATCTTTCTCTCCATTTTTTGAATTTGCTAATGCCTAGAACATGTTGCAAGATTGCAAGGGCTCCTTTCTGTATTACAATCATTCAAATGTATATATTTACGTTGAGAACATACTACAAAGACCAGGATTGGTTCTTATAATCAGTGGAACAGTTTGTTTCAAAAATTGTGTATACTCGATTAATATAAGTTTGTGCAATGTAATTGTATAATCAATATTTGAAAGTAGTATCTATACCAGCTATAATTTGGGGAAGGAAAGAGGGACAAAATGAATTTAAATTTTTAACTGAGTATAATGTTTAAAATAATGTTTAAACGATAAATTATAAGATCTCTTCTTAAGAAGCCTGCTTTAAATCCATTGGCTACAAATCAGTCTTTAATCTTCTGGAGACAGATGAATATAAGTTTCTGTACAGATATTTTTAGACAGATTATTGTATCTTGAAACATTTCAAATTGTCTTATTGAGGGCAATGGAGCTAAGACTTCCTTGGTTGGCTTGCTTGATGATGACTGAGGATTAGCATGGGGAATTGGTAGTGGTTCTTCAGCAAGTTTCGATACCACTGACAATCACATCTTCCTTCTGGATCACCTGGGAAGTTTGGTAATATATGTTCCTGCTTTATAGTGATTCCATTTCTATTTCTTAGAAAGGTTTCAGATGTTATTTGGAAACAGTTGCAATTCAGATGTTGTAGAGGGACTGGTACCAGGAACGCTAGGCACTTCCTGCAGCATGAATGGATTAAAAGCCTCAACATCCTCAAACAAGCTCAGAAGACCCACAGGAAATGGTGTGAATGGAGAAAAGACTGGACTTGAAGAGAAGTCTTTGTGGAAAATGAAAGTTTTACTTGGGTGAGTTCAACTAAGACACGTAGCTATCAGGACTCTCTTTGTTCTCTTTTTGCTTTCCTCCCCTCCACCCCCCAAAAATTCCTCAATAAAAACCGACAAATACTAAATTGAAATCACCTTGAGTTGCTTTGTTGCTTAGTTGTTTTTTGCAATTTAAAAAGAGACTTTTTTCCACTTATAATCTACCCTTCCATTTGTTATGCTGAAGAGACAAGGATTATAGCAGTTGGATTTATCTTCCAACCTCTTGTTTTATACCAACTGCAAATTTATGCCTATACATTTTCTCTTCTTATGAACTGAATGGTTCTGATTTTCAGACTACATTTTATTTATTTTTATTTTTTAGACACTAACTGTAAAGTAAGACTGCAAATTTTTGAGAAAAGTAAACTGTGTTTACGCTTACAAAGCAAGGCTTTGTTCACATTAATTACAGAGCAAAGTTGCAATTTTTTGAGGATTGTAAACTATGAACAGAGGAGACAAAGAAGAAACCTAATTTGCCCTTCTCCATTTTATATAAGTATTATTTCAACATTAACTACAAGAGGGAGCAAAAGGCTAATCTGAGAAAAAGATCAATTTTTAACAGAAGGCTATGTGATTTAGGGCAAAAAACTAATTTTTATCAGAAGGCTGTTTGCTTCGTTATATTGAAGTGTAATTTCAACATCAATCACAAGAGGGAGCAAAAGACTAATTTTTATCAAAAAGCTTTTTTTAAAAATCAGAAACAATGTTGCAGAATTAACTCTTTGACACAGATACAGTAGTGGCCAAAATTGTAAAAACCTTTTGGGAAAAGTGTATTTTTGAGGTTTGATGGCTAACCACTTTTTTTGGAGTTTCAAGATAATCATATTCCACTGCTGGAATGGCCTTAACTCAATTGAAAATCTATGGAGCCGATTAAAGAAACTTGTTAGTCAGAAGCGACTCAGCAATAAAACCCAGTTAATATAAGCAAACATTCTATCTTGGTTTTACATTGTAATAGCTGCAGAACTAAAAGACTCCCACCCCATGGGAAGACATTGTAAGGCTGTAATTCATGCTAAAGGTTACCTAACTAAGTATTAACTGACATGGTGATAATTTTTGTATATCTCGTTTTTTCTACATGTTTCACTTTTTTTCTTTATGACTGCTATTCTACAGTAATAGCAAATCCTTCATAAAAGTTATTGCATTACATTCTTGATTAAATTATCTTTCCATTGATTTATAATTTTATGGCACTACTCCAAACAAAAAAGTAGTGTTATTAGTTAGTTTTAGAAAATACACTTTTCCCAAAAGGTTTCCACAATTTTGGACACTACTGTAAGATTGTTTTATAAAGATTCAGTTTGCCTGCTTCTTATGGAGTTATAAACAACGTCACAAAAGAAAAACTGTAGTATTATTGGATGCATTTGTATGAAGAATAACAAAGCCATGGAAAAAGAGGCTAGCACTGTATTTACGTCCAATATTTTTGTATTCCTGCCCATCTGCATCAAATGTAAATTAATTGAATTACATGAAGAAAAACTGAAGAATCTATAGATAAGGCTAGCCACTCTGAAACCAGTCATTCCAAGACTCATCGGTGAACATAATGAACTCCTAGTAAAAGCAGAAGTCTGTATCCAAACCGAACACAACAAAGAAGAAATAACTATCCAGAAACAGGAAAGGCAATAGCAGCATGTCATTCAAAGTTAAAAAAATTTGAAAAGGCTGTTCCTGCCATTTCGTACTGGAAGAAAACTTGCAGACACATGGAGAAGTGTGTTTGTCAAGTGATCCAGTGACTGGAAATAAAACTGGAAATAAAACAGCTTAGACTCACCACCACCCCTCTACAAAATAAAGGATGGGTTAATGATCTATGACTCACTACTCAAACGAACAGAACCATCTGTAAGCCAAACTATAATGGTGGTGTGTTGTCTCCCAGGTGCAAGGATTAAAGATGTGACAGAGAGGCTTACTATAATAATCAAGCCCACCAATAATTATCCCCATAATTATGCAATTATGAGCCTGAGAACAATTTCAAGAGACTATGGGCAGAAAAGCAAGACATTTGGAAGCACAGGT